ATGGTCTTTTCGAATGGAATGTGCTAGCTCAAAATCTCAAGAATAGTCCACCATCTTTTCAACAAGTAATGACTGATATATTATCTACATCTCGGCAATTCTCATTGGTTTATATTAATGATATCGTGGTGTATTCTCGTTCATTTGAAGAACATCTCAATCATTTTACACAAGTATTATCTGCTTTATTCAAACATAATTTTCAATTTAACCCGATCAAATCTAGTATTTTTCATCAACAAATCGATTACTTATCTCATACGATATCTGAACATGGTGTTAAACCAACCAATGAAAAAATTCAAGCAATTATTAAATTACGACAACCTACTAAATTAGCTGAAGCAAATAAATTTCTTGGTGCTCTTTCGTGGTATCGTAAATTTATACCCAAATTTGTAACAATTGCTGCACCTATTCATGCTGTAAAAAACTTAACAAAAATAAATAGACACAAATTCGAATGGGGTGCTTCTCACTCTCAAGTGTTTTCACAATTGAAACAATTATTAATTACTTCTCCATTATTTCTTAATTTTTCAGATGATAATTATCCTGTTATATTAACAACGGATGCATCAGAAATTGGTATTAGTAGTACATTACAACAAAATATTAATGATGAAATAAAAAATTTATATTATCATTCTCAAGTTCTATCTTCTACTCAATGACGATATGATCCTATTGAATTAGAAACATTAGCCATATACTTATGTTTTCAACGAATTCGATCTTATCTACTTGATAGATCTATTATAATTTATACTGATCATTGTCCTTTATGCAAAATGATGAACTCATCGGTGAAAAATCGATGAGTGGATCGAATTTCTATTTTATTGCAAGAATATAATATCGAAAAAATTATTCATATTAAAGGTCAACATAATTGTTTAGCTAATTATTCATCTCGTCATCCAATACAAAATGATGAAGAAATATTTGATGAGAATTATGACATAAGCATGTTATTTCAGGGGGAACCACTGGAGACGATGCATACTCCTGTTAATCATCCTCCAGTTATTGGTGTTATTGTTACGCGTTCAAAAATGAAACAAATAAAACAACAACAAAATGAAAATGACAAAATTACACTACCCACCCTAAATGATATATCATCGTCGTCAAGTAAAGACAAAATTTAACATTCAAATAAATCTCCATCACACTTAATTACGTCTAACAATTTTGATATAACTCAAATTAAACTTGAACAGTCAAAAGATTCAAATATTCAGAAGAAGATTAAAGAAGTTATGCAAGATCCAACAAAACATTCTTATGTAGTTACAGATGGTTTATTATATAAATTGGTATTAATGAATGTTGCTAGTAATAATAAGAAGAAAGTCATTTATTTACCTTCAGCCATAATCAATTCCCTCCTGCACTCATACCACAATGATTCACTTAGTGGTCATTTTGGCATTCAGCGAACATATTTAAAAAAATTAAAAAATAAATTCTGGTGGCCAAATATGAAACAATCAATTATTCAACATATTCAATCTTGTTTATCTTGTCAACAGCATAATATTAGTCATACAAAGAAACCAGGTCAATTTAATCCAATTCCAACTCCAGACGGACCATTTCAATTAATAGGTATTGATTATTGTGATCCGTTCAAACCAACATCCCATGGTAATCAATATGTATTATGTATTACTGATTATTTTACAAAATGAATGACTCCAATAGCTTTACCTGATTGTTCAGTACAAACCACGGCTCAAACATTATTTAATAATTATATTTGTCAATATGATGTACCATTAGCTATATTATCAGATCAAGGTACTCATTTTAAAAATCAACTTATGGAATTCATAGCAAAATTAATTGGTTACAATCATATTTTTTCAAGTGTTTATCATTCACAAAGTAATGAGATGATTGAACGTTTTAATGCGACATTCATTCCTCAAACTTTCAAACTTC